GGTCATGTGATCGGGGCGGGTTGCTAGGATACGGCGTCCTCCGCTGCTGCTGCGGAACCTCTCCAGACTGTCTATGAAGTTCCGCGGGTGTATAGAGGTGCCCACACCAGCCAATCAGGGGCCACCTAATTAAGAAGGTAAGGGGGGATTAAAGCGGACCTGTCTCCAAGCAATATACTCACTCCATGGACTGCTCAAAGTCTGCAGAGGTTCGGGGGGGCGGGGGGATTTAAGGGTGTTGGGAGCTCCGTGGGGCCCTTCCAACCTCTGCAGATTTGATGTGCAAAATGTCTGTGTGTGCGCCACTCCATCACCGTACCGCCGCGCTGCTTCGGGGGATGGGAATATGAAGGGAGGGTTGTGGTGCAGTAAGGGGGAAATAAGGGGTCACTGTTTTAACAAAGGGTTAATGAGGGGGTCACATGGCAATGGTCACGTGAGATTCGTTTCATTCCGAATTGAAATGAATCCGAATCTTTGAATAAAACTAAATAAAGATTTCGGATGCATCTTCTGAATGGATTAAAAAAAAGCACGGCGTCCCCTCCCCAATTCATACACGCCAACAAAAAAAACGTGGTGCCCCCCCTAAAATCCCTTACAAGACCCTTGATCTGAGCAGTGGCCTGGCAGAGCAGGAAACCAGGTCACATGACGTCACAACTTGCTCCGCCCCCTTTGTTGACATTTAGGTCAGAGCTGTCATGATTTATGATAGCTGGTAGTTCCCAGACAACAAATAACATTCCACTCATCCAAAGTTAAAAAATATTTTTGGATTAGTCAGAATCCCGAAAAACCCGAAATGAACCGAACCGAGCGTTTTCTTGGCGCATACGTCAACCTTGTAACAAACAACCTTCATATATTTGTCACTCTCAGGTTTGCTGGAAGCCGACAGACTCCAATCTACAGAATACAATGTAACAATACTGACACAACGTGCAGATACAGGCAGGCTGGGGAGGCAAGGGCTAGATGATGCTGGGCGTCCTCCAGCCAGGAAATGAGGCGGAGCTCTATCTGACTTGCTGCAGCTTCTAATGCACATTGTGAGAAGCTCGCAGTGTGCAGTGACATCAGAGGAAGACATTCCAGTCCAGGAGAGGAGCCGGTACAAGTGTGCAGGTCTGGATGGCGGCTCCTGATTGGTGGTTATGAGGTATTGGCGCTCCGCCCGCTCTGGTTGCCCTCGGCGTCTCCTCGCTGAATGAGGACGATTGTCTGGGAGTGTGAAATGGATGTGAGCGGCGTGTAAAGGGACATTTCACAGCCATCAGAGGACGCAGAGTGTCGCCCCACCCCCCCGGCTGAGGAGACAATGAATGGAGCTGAGCAGTGTCATCCCGAGATCAGACCACATGACACGGCTCAGAGGAAACCGGCCAATAGGATCTGATCTTCATGTATGTAAAGAGGACCTGTCAGGGTGTTCAGGAATACATCCGACATGTCACCATGGTGCAGGGATCAATGACAAGAGCAAGTCAATGATGTGCTCTCCGGGGGCACCATGGATGGAAGGGGGGGGGGGGGG